AACAATTGTTAGTTGCAGCCCCACTCCAGTTTTACATAAGCTAAAAGCATTTACTTGAAGTTCACATTTTGAGATGTCTTATGCCGGGAACTCCTGAAATGCGTGCAGAAGAAATGGAAATTACTGGTTGACCTGGTACGAGTGTGCAGTCATAGCTGTAGAGGTAAGAGAAGCCCTCTGGTGTGTGGAGCACTGTGGTGTTACAGTTTCCAGAGATTTGCTACAACACAGGAAACACATAAATTGTCCATAAACCAATCTAAAACACCGTTTTTTTCTAGACATATTAAAACCAGATTCTGTGAAGCATCTGCACTGAGTTACTTCATGGATTAATATGAGTTAGATGTTGGATTAGTCATGATATATCACTATCCATGAGAGCTTTTCTCATGTTTCATTTTAAAAAAGCCAAGTTGATTTCACTTGCCACCATCACTTGCTTCGTTTTCACGAGGCAAAGCACAGGTTTTAAAATTCAATAATAGATTATACAAAGCCAGAGATTTTAGTCTGAAATCCAGATTTTCATCCATTAAATGGTCAAAACAGAGTTTTGCATGCAGTGAAAAAAATTTTAACTTAAAATGTTCTGCTGGTTAATCTTAAACCCATGATCAATATTTGTGAATTTACCAGATGGAATTTTAAACTGAAGTAAACAACACCACTACACTGTCAACCAGAGGCCATATATTCAATCCAAACTTTAAGATGTACAGTAGCAGCAAATAATCAAGGAGCTGAAGCCTTACTGTTTCCATGAAAGGTCTTATAGCACATTTCTTCCACGATTTGGGACTGAGGACATGGCACTTGGTCTCAAGGACATCTAAATCAAGATAATAGACCTTTCCAGCCGGACCCTACATAGGAAAGTGGACCTATGAAATAAAACGTTTTCTTGCAAAGATGACAAATGCATGTATAGTCTGGCTTTGAATCTGTAAAACAAATGATTTAATATTTTTTTTAATAATATGAGCAGATCTATGAATGGTGTGGTTGCCTTTCCACTGGTAAAAATGACAGCACTGTTTACCAACCTGTTGATGCGCCTGGACGTTTGTGATTCTATTAAGGGCAAATTTGTAACCTGTTTGTCTGTCCTCGTTTATGTATGTGATGGCCAGTCGGGACAACTTCTCCACGGTCTTGTCGTCACAGGGAACATGAACTAAACTTGTCCCCGAGACACACAAAGTGTTTGCGGTCAGCAAAATCCAAATCAGAATCAGCATCTTTCTTTCTTATTACAGACACTGTCCTGCACAGGCAGGCTCCAAATCTATCCCAAACTTATTCAAAATGATTCATAATATACACTTAAGAAGTGTAAATGAAATTACAAGAAGATGAATCAATTCATATCTAAAATATAAATAAACACTCTACCTCAGGAATGCTCATTCCTCCTGGTGAAGATCTGTCGTCTGCATGCAGCAGAGTTTAGTTCCAGTCCTGCAAGTAACACAAACCTCTGTAATTTTCATCTGAAAATAAAGACCATGATTGGCTAGTTTGTGTGTTGGTTTAGAGATAGACCCAGAAGAAACTTAGAGGAAAGTAGATATTTAGGTCCCAAGATGAGTATTTGGCTCTATACTCTCTCTCATGTAGTAGTCATGCTTTATTCTATCAGAAGATGGCGCTGGTATTGCAGTGACGCCACAAACATTTCATACAGATCCTTATAAAAACCGTGATCCTGGATGAATCCAGAATGGTTTTGCGGTCAAAGTTATATTATCTATGGTCGTCAAATGTCAGTACAGTGGTACATTTATGGCATACGTTGGTACTTTTATATTTATTATGATCATATTCATGCACCACAGCTTTTGCATTGTTTCTGAGACGTTCAACTCAAAAGAGTTATAATAATGACTTACTTAGTGTATTTAACACTAACATAAAGGAAGATTGAGAGATCCTCAGAGATTAAAATGAAACAATTGGTTGTCTTTTGTTAATTCTCAATTAATTCATCTCAATTAAATCAATAGAAGATCCATCCAATCGAATGCTTATGTTATTATAAATGTGGGCACATTATGGCATTACTTCCATGTTATCTTTATACCTTTTCAAAAGTCATTTATACATGGCTTTTGCGTTTCACTCAAGATAAATCAACGTTGCTTTACTGTCTAGTATTTAATGATGAGTCAATGAACCATAAAGCGCCGGATGTTTTCCTCGCTAAAACATAGTTTAAACTGGTTTATAGATGTAAACACAAAACTGACAGACTGTGAATGAGTTCAGATGACAGGTTTGCGTGAGAGGGAGTGTCCTCTCCAACGCGCGCACACACAGCATTCAACACGAGCCTCGCGAGCATCCAGTTCATTCAACCGCACAACCGTCAACGCACATCTGCGTGAACAACCTCGTTGAAGATGATGTTTATGAGGAAGGTCTGCTGCTTTCTGCTCTGTTGTGTTTTTGAAGCGAGCGTTGCGCGCAGGACCGAAGAAGCGGAGACCTTGGAGAAGATTGAAAGCGCGCGCTGCGTCTCGCGCTGCCTGACGCTTCACATCACGCAGATCAAACACCTGCAGGTAAGAGCCGCCCAGAGTGAATGCTTTTCGCTGTAAGGCAGGTCTTTTTTAAGAAGAGCTTCGTTGACCCTTATAGCGGGGTATGTTGTCACATTGGCAACTTTCTGGTTGTTGGCACTGATTTGAGCAAAAAATATATGGAAATATATAAATAGAATTAAAGGTTGAAAGTGAAAACACGTAAAAGCTAACTTACAAAAACATAAATTAATTGTTTTGGTCAACAGTAAATTGAATGCCAGTCTGATTTTTATGGTGTCCGTTTGTTTACAAACGCTATTACAATAATAAATTAACATAAATTATAATATAGTTAAACAATACAGGCTGTTTCAAAGAAACTTCACAGTAATAAACAAAAAACAACAGTAGGCATAATACTTTTTGATACAATTTCTGGAAAGCAGCTCTAAAAAGACAATAGTTCAGGTAAATTTAGTTCAATAAGTGTGAATATTGTGAAGTTCATTAAGTGAAGTTATAAGCTCAATTCAACTAACAAAGTTAGTTCCAACTAAGTGTTGGAATTGGGAGATTGAAACCAGCATAGATAACCATACATTTAAATATATGGTCTCTTGAGTCCCCCTATGTGACAACTAGCCCCAATCCCATTAGTTTCAGATGCTGAGTTGGGATCTTTTCTGAGCATATGCAGTTGGTTTAGTGGATGGGAAACACATTGCTTTTTTGTGTGTGAATGAAGTGTTTAATGGCTGTTTTCACCTGTTTTCTTCATGAGTTTATCCCCTAACTGACTGGATATCAGCTTTAGTGCAGTTGTAGTTAATTGTGTGGTATTTGGAGCTTGAATCATGAAAGCATATGGTCTGACAGCCCACCATGCAGCATGACTCTGTCCTATATATCTGTCTTTCAGTTCTGTTTGCCGTGTATCTCTTGAACTGAAATCAGCTTATGTTTGTGGCAGCTCAACCCAGCCATAATTAAGTCATAATTAGAGGCACATTATGAAAAACTATCCACTTTAGTAGTTCCAGACATTGAACTTTCTCTCTGATCTACTTCTAATCTAATTTTCTCCTCCAGTTACTGTCTGTAAATCTTGATTTGACTTTTAAATCTATGATTTCATCACAAAATTTCATCTGGATACCAGAGGCCTTTTGCTGCATGTGTCTTGCATTTGTATGTTAGCATTAACAATATATTACTTTTACTTAATATTTTATCTGCATATAAGATGCGCTGTAAAAAGTGATAACGCAATTTTTACGTTAAAGACCTTGATTTCACACATAGAAATTAGTTTTGTTGATATAAATGTATTTAAATGGAATTAGTGCTGTTAAATAATTTTTTTCTTGAATAAAACCAGTTAATTTAGATTACCATTTTTGAGCTTACCATTTTTTCAGTATGTTAAAAAGTGCAAAGAGTATTCACTCTCATTGGTAGCTGAGACCCTGATTAAATTAGCCGAAATATTTAATTAACGAGTGGGAGGGAGATTTGTAGATCGCTGCGAATGACCATTTGTTTTATTCTGCTGTGCTTTTTACAGAGTTCTGTGGGCGCAGATGACATGTAGGTCTGCTCATTACCCATAAAAAAGCAACATGTTTTAGAATGAGACCAATGACAAATATGATTGAGTGTCGGATAACTCTTGCTTTTTTATTGTGGGAACTCTGGGAAGTAACACGAGGGACTGCCTTGTAAAAGACTCAGTAACACATTCTTGTGCAAGCTTTGGTAAGAAGGCTTCTGAAAAGCATATTATAACGGCCTCATAAATTACTCCAACAATCACTGTAATTAAATAAGGATGAGATAACTCACTGCAGACTAAATTCTTCTCAGGGAGTTTCTTTATTCTAAACAGAATTCCAGCCATAATTTCTGTCTGTAAGACGGGACGTTGTGCAGGTTTCACGTTACTGCTCAAAGCATAGCTGGGGGTTTTGAAGAAGGTGTTCTCCCATTTTTCCTCAGCCCTTTAAAAGTCGAAAACCAAAGCCAGCTCAGCGTCCTCACATGCACCAGCTTACATGAACCACTTCAAGAAAAGGAATGTTTGATAAGTCATAATTTATGCCGCTCTCTCGCACTCATCCTTTGTTGCAGCAGCTGCTCTGACTGCAGGTGTACGATTTACGACATCTCCAGACAATGGTATTTGTTGTGTTAATGGCGCGCATATCCAGTGTCAGCGCAAATGGTTATACTGCGCTAAAAATGCAAGCTATCGCACATGACAGGTGTAGAGTGACGGACATCAAACAAATGTAGGCAAAGTTTTCATTAAGGTAGAATTACACTCCCTCTTTGTTCTGCTGACCTTAAAGTGTTGTTCACACGGATACTGGAGTTTTCCCAGTCCATAACCCTTACGAAAAAGAAGTTTATTCAAGTGTGCTATTAGTATACTTCTTTTAAACTAAGAAATAGGAAAGTATACTTTTAGTCTACTACACTTACAAGTATAATACACTTACAAGTATACTACTAGTACACTGATATTTGTATACTTGCTACATAAAGTATACTTAAAAATATACTTGAACTTTACTTAAGTATACTTACTAAAATAAACTTGAAGTATACTACTTTTTGGTAAGGGAAGGTCAAGGTTTGGCTGATTAGCATGGGCTACACCAATCTGGCAGCAAAAATATTTAGGCCTAAATGTAAGATTTGTGTATTTGAATTGAATTTCCATCAGTTTGGATTACAGTTTTAACACAAACAAACTTAAAGGGAGTTTAAGGGGTTGATTCAAAGGGGTTGATTACTCAACCTCAAGTTGTTCCAAACCTGTATGAGTTTCTTTCTTCTGTTGAGCATAATAGAATATATTTTGAAGAATGTGTGTAACCAGTCGACGGTAGCCACTGACTTCCATAGTATGAAAAAAAAATACTATGGAAGTCAATGGCTACTGACAATGTTTGGTTTGTTTCAGTCTCATGCATTTTAAGTAACTGAATATTGCTTGTTTCACAGCTAGCCATATTTTAACCATGTTTATTATTTTTAAATGAATAAATACAATAGTTTTCACAATGAACAGGTTTATGCTGATTCTAAGCAATTTGAATAAATTCATTTTGAAAAAACATAATAATGTAAATAAAATCAAATAGATGCAAATAGTTAATAAACTGACAAATAAACTGACAAATGTTAATGATGATACTGTGTAATCCAAATGGACAATTTATATGCACTTCAAATACATAAATCTTAAATTTTGGCCTAAATATTATTTTTGCGTGTTTGTCCATTCAAATGTAGCCTTGTATTCTGATTAGTTTTTTAAAACTACATATAATAGTAAATATTTCATTACATTAGTAGATTTGAGAAGTTTCTTAAAAGTATGAAATGCACTTGGATATTTTTTCCTTGTCTGCTGGCTTTGATGCCACAGCTCATGTGCTGTACACATTCTTGGCAGGATGTTGTTTCCAAAGTAAAGTTACATGGCATGTATGGCTCAGAGTTTCAGGCTGAGAGAACTGAGTTGCCATGGGCAAAGATGGCATCTTGCAGGCATCAAAATCTCATTAGAAATGAACCACTACATGCATACTCAACTGTCTGTTTTATGTCAAAGAAAAATAAAACGGTATACATCGCTCATAGTAATCACCCACACTTTTGGAAATTATTATAATATATAATAATAATAATAGGTTAGATCATGTCAACCTACCACAGTGAATGTATGACTCTCCTCACAAAGTATGAATCCAATATGTTAGCCAGCTTATGACAGTGTTTACATTTACATGACTCATTTATTTTTATGGGGCATACATGTCAAGGTGACCATCCTGAGCTCTTAATGAAGACCTCACTAAAAGGGTAAAAGTATTTATTTTAATAAGTAGTTTGGCTTATTTGTATTATTATTATTATTATTATTATTATTAAACATGTCAGATAATGTGACCTTTATGACAATCAAGGTTAGTTTAAGTTCATGTCAAATGGTATAACCACAATGATATTTGCATAAAATGTTTATGAAAATGTTAAAAATGAATAATGATTAAGAATCATTCAGCTTACTCATGGCCATTAAACCTACTGTACCTACTGAATGCATCCTTCATAGAAAAAATGGATTAAAAAAACAAACCTTTCCTCCTGCCAACTTGTTCCATATCCCCATAAAACTCATTGTCTTCTATCAATTTGCCGATTACCCACCTGACTAACAGATCTCTGATTGCTGCTATCTATCCAGTATTCAAGAAACCAAGTCTTGACAATTCAGTTTTGAGTAAATTTTGGCCCATATCAAATCTACCTTATCCAGCAAAATAATAGAAAATGTGGTCACTCCTCAGTTAGTCACTCTTGGAAAACAAAATAAATAAAACCTTTTCAATAAGGTTTCCACCCCCTTCATAATACAGAGATGTCCTCTTAAAGGTAGTAAGCAACCTCCTCCTTTCCTCTGACTCTGGTGTTCTCACTCTCTTAGTCTTTTTAGACCTGAGTTCAGCCTTCTGTACTCCTCACTCACTAAACTGCTATTGGTGTTACTGACCATCTGTGGCCAAAGTATCTTGGTGTCATATCTCAGTGTCAATAAATGCAGTCTCACTCAGTTGCTTCACAAGGTGTACAGCAAGGATCAGTTCTTGGACCGCTTGTTTTTCTAATCTATATGCTTCCACTTGGCCAGATCATTTGTTGTCATAGTTTTAAGGCCTTTCACAACAAGATGAATAGTTGGTGCAAAAATTCAGTGTGATCAACATTTTCATCTGAATGAACGCCTGTTAATGCATCTATTCAGACCAACATGAACATTAGCACTCTGTCACTGTGACGGATGTTTTACAGAGAGGTGTTCTGATCTATTTTCCATCGCACTGAGAAGAAAACTGGCTAACCAATAACATTTGCACATTTTGGTCACATGCTCAGAGTGCAGCTGTTACTTAAAATTACGACTTGGTGGCACTCACAAACAGATGTTTATTTGCTAAGTGGCAGTGAATAGCAGAGGAAGAATCCAGAAT